AAAATAATCATTGTATGGATCAATTTGCCCACACTTTCAATACGCTCCTAATACGTACGGCTCATTTGCAGCCTGAAGTTCCTTCGGCAGTTACACCCGCGCCTTCTGTACTTACACCTATAGTGTATAAGGCACCTACTATCTTCCTTTCTCCACCCCCACATTTTGAAGGTAATACTCAAGAATGTCAGGGATTCCTCAATCAGATTGAGTACCATTTTGGGCCAAGTATTTTGACTATTCTCTGGTACGATAAGTCTGGCCATTCTAAGGTCCGGTAAGACGTTATCCTTAGTATTTAGATGTGATACAATTCTGCGTGCTGGATCAACTATAATCCTGACATTCTTATGTACTCTATTTCGCTCTCTTGCATACCTTGTTGTACATAACTCAAAAAAAAGATTGTAAACATTATACTCATCTTCCTAGGAATGTGTTTGCAGTTTCTACTAACTACTTCACAGCAGATGATTTGAAAGGTAAACCATGAGTGGTTGTAGACCTACTCATAAAGCATCAGTGAGGTGGTGAAGGCATATGACAGCTGGGTAGTCTAGCTTTTGCACCATCCTCCATCCCAAGGTATCAGAATGGTCTGATTTGTCAATCGTAACAATCAAGTAGATTATTTTCAACCCTGCTGATCAACTCATACATCAGTTCCATATATCTAAAATCACCTCAAAGAGACACTATAGGAATACAAATCTGTATTCGCACTGCTATAGTATCCTTATCCCCAGATAGTTGTAAGCCACTTTACCGTATGCACTGTAATGTAAAAACAAATTGCTTGACCTAACTTTTCTCCAATGCAGAGTCTCCCTCTGCGCAGATGCCTGATTCTCCTCACGCCTCCAGGTTGACGGTCCAATCCAAAGCTCCTCAAAGAGGAACATTGGGGACCATAGGAGGATATGTAGCGCTTGCCACAACACACCAATAATCCTCTTATAGAAAATCATTGAATGCGATGATTCTTTATTACAAGCCATGATGGCACTGATCATTCTGACTGATAAATTGTGGGTAAATTGGCTTAACAGCTCAAATTGAACATTGATTAGATTTTACTCATTGTCATAATTTGCCAGAAAAGCATGCTTTTTCTTATGTATAACAAAAAAACAAGACAATTAAAAAAAAAACAAAAAAAAAAAAACAAGGAGAAATAGAGGGACAAAAAAAAGAATTAATTTAAAAGCAAACCCTGCAAAATGACAGAGCCGCTTTAAAGTGCCCCTTTAAAGCTTTTCTAAAAGTGTTTATCAATTTCTGTTTTACTTGGAGGAACATGTGCAAGACATAATATGTCCCCATCTTTATAAATCCCAGATGTTTAACAATAGAGAATGGAGAATCTATTGTATATACAAAAATGTAGGAATTTGCTCATTAAGTGCATTTTTCTTTGTGGTCATGCAGTCTTCAGCCACATATGTATATAGGCTTTGTTCAGGGCCCAATGGTCTCCCAGAAAATGGGGATATTTCCAAGAGGGCAACAGTGTCCTAGACCGGACACTGGCTGAACTTAAAACTTTTTTAATATATATTTTCCCTATTAAACATAAATAAATCCCGGGGGCGGAGCCTGACTGCCGAAGAAGATGGCCGCGTTCTAGGAGAGCTCCGAAGCGGCAAACCACTCACCAGCTCACATTACAGGCAACACCAGCGGCAACACAGCCACGAACCGACCGACACAAACCCGACACGCACGGAACACGCTGACATGGGCGGCGGACGAAAATCCAAATCGGGAGCAGCTGTGCCTCCGATCTTTAAAACCAGGTCAGATAAAGAGGCGCCATGCGCACACAGCTTACAGGCCTCAGATTCAGACTCTGACACCAGCTTGACTAGCCATAAAAGCCATAAAAGGGAGCCATCACCCCTTACAAGACAAGATTTAAAGGTACTACTCACAGACATGAAATCTCTAGTGGCAGATGAACTCACTAAACATCTAGCCCCACTTAAAGAAGGCCTGACTGATTTAACAAAGCGCACTCACACTCTGGAAAACAAAATGGCCGACGTTACCGCCATCACCTCCAACCATGAGGCCAAATTCAAGGATATGCAAGAGCAAATAGCATACCTGGAGGACTTACAAGAAGACCTTAGTAACCGTTCCAGACGTAATAACATTCGCATAATGGGTCTACCAGAATCCGCAGCGCCAGAAGCCCTCAACGCCATGCTTCTTGAAGCCTTCAGCAGCTTGCTGCCTGATGCCCCCTCATCAGACCTCCTCCTCGACAGGGCACACAGAGCCCTCCGTCCGCCCACAGCGGGCTCCTCACAACCACGGGACATCATAGTCCGCTGCCATTACTTCCATATCAAGGAAGCGCTCATGCGTGCCACCAGAGAGACCCCTCTGCAAATAGAAGGTCACACAGTACAATTATACCAAGACCTAGCACCCACGACCCTCCGCAAGCGCAGAGAGTTGAAACCTCTAACCCAAGCCCTCCAAGCACGGAGGATTCGCTACTCATGGGGTCACCCGTTTAAACTCATGGTACGACATGATAACCGCACCTACACGCTGTACAGACCATCGGAAGCCCCAGAATTTGCCACACAACTGGGCCTCCGCGAACTAGCTCAAGATCTGAACGCAGCCTCACAACAACCGGTTGCCCAACACCGACCATGGGAACCACAACCACAACGGGAGCGAGACAGAAGACAACGTCCTAGACAGTCTCCAGCTTAAACCTGTGCCCAATACCACAGCAGCGTCTCGGCCTCATCCACAGCACCCTAACACACCAACCCCTGACACGGATTGCAAAGTTTATGGACACTGCAAGCCGTGACTAACGACCTGCTATGTAACCCGGAGCCCGTCAAAGAACACCCAGATACTACTCCTGCTCCCTGGCCTCCAAGATATACCCCGCACCCGGGGGGCCCCCCTCGACGAGCACAACGGCCCACCGCGGCTTCCCACGCCGTCAGCACAGAACTGCACCGGCCTCGCCCGCCTAGACCCATAGCCCTAGATGACCCCATCTACGCCATCCTACGGGCCACTGAACGCAGCACAGCACCCCCTGCAGCAGATGAAGAAGACCCTGTCCAGCTGTGGAACACTCCGGCTCACACCCCAGAACCCAGCCAGCAGAGATCGGACCTCGAGAACTCTAAAGACTTTGGGACTAATGTAAGAACACAATGGGGAAAAATTTTTTGGCTTTCTTTCTCTTCTACTGCTTCTAGTGGGGACGGGGAGGGGGACGGGATGGACCTGGGGCCCTGGTGGTCTTCCCTCCCCCCCTCCCTCTCGGGGGGGGGGACGGCGGACTGCGACGGCCTCAGGTTGGGAGAAGAAATGTGCCACGAAGGCTACGCACAATGCGGCCTATACCGATGGGCCAGCACGGGGGGACGGGCGTGGTGGGACATAGTGGGGCTCTGGCGGCCCCCCCCCCCCCCTCCCTCTCGGGGCGGGGGGGCGGTGGGCCGCGACGGCCCCGAGGTGGATGGATTACAGCTCCTTGGAGCCACTTGGCACATGCCCTCCGAAGGTGATACGGACAACCATAACCCGACACTTGGGCAACCCGGGGGCGGGTTCGGACGGGCACTGGGTAGCACACGGCCTGGGCCCTGGCGGCCGTCCCCCTCCCCCCTCCTTTGGGACGGGGGAGGCGGCGGGCCGCGACGGCCTCGAGCCAGACAAGATTGGTATACCCTAACTCATACATAGATCCCAGATATCCTCAAGAAGCGAAATAGCCCCTTATAATTACAAAGAGAATGGGTCTAGAGACGCATACCCTTCACACTAGACCACACCACCTTAGTTGAAAGACCCAAAGGCCAACCACCGCATATGACTTAGTGCTACACCGAGACGCGGCTGCACACCAACACTAGTGTACATAGTTTCTAACATTGCCTCCCCCGGTTTCACTCTCCCAGGTTCTATACTAAGTTAAGAAGGCCCGCACGAAATCACAAAGCGTTTGCCGCCTACTCCTAGACAGACGACCATATCCCCCCACGTGACCTGATTCGTACCGACGGTCTCCGAACATACCAACCGGAGAGACCCCCGGCACCACAGTCTACCCTTGCTGGCAGTTAAAGTAAGTCCAGCACTTCTAAATTTCCCCTACATACCCTACCCCTCTTGTCAAAAACCTCCCTGCTGCCCTCTTGGGACCTCTTGAACCTCAAATATCTCCCTCCTGAACCGTCCTACTCTCCCCAGACTCAACACAACACCTGACCAGGTCATCCCAGACCATGCCACTCAACTTACACTGTATCTCCATCAATGCAAAGGGCCTTAATAACCCCAAAAAACGTCATGCCCTGCTACGCTGGGCCCACAGTCAGAAAGCAGACATTCTCCTAATTCAAGAAACTCACTTCACCCCTCACAAACACTTCCCACTCAAAAACAAACATTACAACCGCAGCTTTCTCGCCAACTCCCCGGACGCCAAATCCAAAGGGGTGGCTATCATTCTCAAAACCTCTTGCCCTCTGACCGACATCCAAGCTTTCCCAGATGACCATGGTAGATACCTCACGCTCAAGGGTAAAATAGGCTCCTCAACCTACTCCATCACCTCCTTATACGCTCCCACGACCCCAGACTCCACATTCTGGCAAACACTCTCAGCCCATTTAACATCACTTAAAGCAACATTCACCATCGTAGGAGGCGATTGCAACGCCACTCATCACCCGTCTATAGATCGAACCACCAAAACCCAGAGCGACCCACGACCATCACACAATGACGCTCCCTTCTCCCACTTCCTACATACACATAACCTCCTGGACATCTGGAGAGCCCAACACCCCTCAACTAGAGACTATACTTTCTACTCCCACCCCCACAACACTTACTCCCGCATCGATTACTTCTTCATCTCCCCGAACATTACAACGAGGGTCAAACACACCTCCATTGGCCACATCACCTGGTCAGACCATGCCGATATCTCCCTTACCCTCTCAATCCCCAACATGACGCGTCCCTGGACATGGAAACTCAACTCACAACTCCTACAAGATAAACTTATAACCATGTCCCTAGCGGATGACATTACTGAATATTTCACCCTGAATGACTCCTCAGTGTCCTCCCCAATCACCCTATGGGCAGCACACAAGCCAGTTACCCGAGGCAAACTAATTGCCATAGCAACAGCCCGCAAAAAACAGCACAACAGACAACTAATGGACACCATCTCCGAAATAGGCCGCCTAGAAACCCTTCATAAACAAAACCCGACCCCCCATTACCTTGACCAACTTACAACTGCTAGGGCCCTACTTAAACGCCTTTCCCACTCAGCCACAGCCAAGGCGCTCACATGGACCAAGCAAAAGTATTACGAGAAGGGCAACAAGGCAGACTCGATGCTTGCAAAACGCCTCCAAAACCTAACAGATACAAAACGAGTATCTAAGATCCGCACGCCGGATGGCACAATGAGTACCGACCCACACACGATAGGAAAAACCTTCCGGCAATACTTCACGTCCCTTTACAACCATACCCCAGACCCCCCAGCTGATACTATCCAAACCTTAACGGATGACTTCCTCAAGAAACTTTCCCTCCCTGCCCTCACCAACACAGCCAGAGCACTAATCTCGGCAGACATATCCCCAGAGGAACTAAAAGCAGCAATAAAAACCCTGAAACCCAATAAAAGCCCCGGCCCCGACGGCTTCACAGCGATCTACTACAAATCATTCGGGGACACACTCATCCCACGATTATGCAAAGTCTTTAACGAAATGCTCAAGGGCAACCCGTTACCCCCCGACATGACACAAGCCAACATTACCCTTCTACCTAAACCCGGGAAATCCCACGAAGACCCGGGTCACTATCGCCCTATTTCACTCCTCAACATAGACCTAAAACTTCTGACCAAAGTAATGACAACAAGAATCAATCCCCTCCTACCAAGACTTATTAATCCAGACCAAGTAGGCTTCATCCCTCACAGGCAAGCACAAGACAACACCAGAAGAGCCATTGACCTGATTTGGTACGCCAACCATAAACGCCTCCCAACCGCCATACTCTCCCTAGACGCTGAGAAGGCGTTCGACCGCCTTCTTTGGCCCTATCTTTTCGCAGTGCTCCACAAATTCAAATTCCCACAAGAATTTATCGACTTTCTCCAAGCTATGTACCATACTCCGACCGCACGTCTACTAATTCCCAATATCACCCCTCCCGCCTTTCCTATATTGAACGGAACCCGGCAAGGCTGCCCCCTGTCTCCCCTCTTATTCGCCCTATCCCTCGAACCCTTGCTAGAGACCATACGTAACAACCCACACATTGAGGGGCTCAAGATAAGAGAAGACACGTTCACCATCGCAGCGTACGCAGACGACATCCTCCTCACCCTGACCAACCCCATCTCGTCCATGACCGCCCTCCTAACAACCCTGCAAGAATACTCAAAGATATCGGGATACCAACTCAATGCCACTAAATCAGACCTCATGCCACTCAACCTCGCTGAACCCGCCATTCAAACCCTGAAAAGAGATCTCCCCTTCCGTATTTGCCCAACAGCAATCACCTACCTGGGAGTTCAACTCACTAGCGACACCACCGCCCTTTACACAGCCAACTATCCCCCACTTCTCCAAAAAGCACTCCTGAACCTAGACCGTTGGAAACCGATGACCATATCCTGGCTAGGAAGAATAGCTTCTGTCAAAATGAACCTCCTACCCAAATTCCTCTATGCCTTCCAAGCACTACCCATCCCCTGTAATAAGAACGACCTCAAACGACTACAAACTGCCATAGACCGATTCATTTGGAACGGGAAAAAGCCCCGTGTCCGTAGAGCCACACTATATGTACCCAAACCCTCCGGAGGTCTAGGTCTTCCCAATCTCACACACTACCTACATGCAGCCCACCTGACACAAATCCAGCATTGGCATCTCCCCCCTGCTCACAAACGATGGGTAGACCTAGAACATCTCATCTTTGGGAGAGATCACCCCTCCCAATACATGTGGCTCCACCTCCCCGACTATCACCCACTCCCTGGATCTCTGGGACCGCCTCAGCGACAAATTTGACCTGTCCACAGGCCTATCACCCCTTTCCCCAATCCTCCGCAACAAACTGTTCCCACCTGGCCTCACACCACAACACTATGCCCACTTTGAAGATCGCGACATAGTTAGGTTAGGACACCTCTACCCCAATGGCGAACTCCTGCAATACGCCGACATCCCCAACCCTGAAACCCTAACCACATTCGACTACTTCCGCTACCTCCAACTCCGGAGCTTCGCAGCAACGGATACGGTCCGCATGGCAGCCACCTCGTCACTGACCGGGTTCGAAAAAGATACCCTCCACTCACCATCCAGAAAGAGCCAAATATCATCCATCTACATAACACTGACCACACACCACACTCAGATAGCCCTCCCCTACATTATGGCATGGGAAAAAGATCTCGGACCCCCCGAGGACCCCACGGACTGGGCTGACATCTGGGCATCCATTAAATCTATCTCAATCTGCGTCACCCATCAAGAGCAGGCATACAAAATGCTCTTCAGATGGTACCTCACACCCTGCCGTTTAAAGGCTATGAAACAAAGCCCCACTAACCTATGTTGGAAATTGTGTGGCGAAACCGGCACGTTCCTCCATTGCTGGTGGACATGCCCAAAACTCACCCCCCTATGGGAAAAAATCACGACTCTCCTAACCAGAATACTAGACAAACCGGTCCCCCTGGACCCATGGGCTCTACTACTATCCAAACCCTTAGACATCCTCACCCGTAACGAGAACAAACTCATAGCGCGAGTGGCCTTAGCCACACGAAGAGCAATTGCGGAAAATTGGTCTACGCAACGTATACCCACTCACACCCAAATATACACGAAAATCACTGACAGCATAGATATGGACAGACTAACAGCGCAACTGCACGACACCCCAAAATCATTCCACAAAGTTTGGGACCCATGGATAGAAGGACACAGTGACCTTCCATGGTGAGCTGGGAAAACACTCAAATAACGCCATTAATGCACAACGAGAATGACGATAGTCACCCGCGCAGCCACCCCCAACCCCACCTGACCCATCTGATACTCGGGAGGTCACCCAAGGGGGCAGCAACATCCAACCCCTCTAAGTGATCTTTCCCTTCCCCTTCAAATACCTTCTCCCCCCCCCACAACCACCCAACAACTCTTCTGACTACAGCACCAGACTCCTATGCCTAGGTCTGCTGACTTAGCCGCAACCAAAGAGTACTCAAAGGCCGCACCACCTGAGAAAACAGATCCCCCTCCCTACCAAGAGAACTACCATCGACCCTTCTGGCTTGGCAAACCTACAAACCATATCACCTCCCCTCGTAGACATACTTCCAACCCGGACCAATATCCCCTCAGATAACCAGCGACCCCCCCGACGACATAAGTCCACTACCAAACGCCATGTAGGGTCACATTCACGACCTCACACTTACTAAGGCCCCCAAAGACAGATACAGTGCAAGCCTACAAGCTGCCGAGCCAGTTTACTGAGCAAACAAAGCAATGTCATACCATGTTGTCTTCAAACACATAACCAACCTCTTTTTTCTGTTAAAATATACACACGACTTTTGTCTGTGAAATGTGCTAACTATAAAATACAGAATCTCAAACTAGTGAACGGACAACAGGTCGACCACGGTAGGAAGGGTGCGACTCAATAACCAAGCCACCATTTGCCCACCCCTCATCCCTATCCTACCTTCCTTACTTTGTACCCCCGACCCACTGCCTACCCCCCCTCCCTGATCCTGGTCATGGAGACCTATTTGTATTCTCACACCTCCTTGGCAAATGTAAGATGAGTACTGTATGCAATATTGTACCCTATCCCCCTCCCTCTTCCTTTTTGTACCCCACCCCATCCTCAACACCAAACGATTGCAAAAGTTGATCTAACCACAGAATCTAGTTGTATACAAATAACATACGCTGTAACCAAAGATGTAATATCTGCATTCCTGCTCAAATTGTTTGACTGTCGCTATGAGTACATGCCTGTTATGCAAAGATTGTAACACAAACTTTAACCCCACTTTTTTTTTCTGTACCCCTTCCCCCAAAAAACAAAATCTTTACAAATAAAGAATTTTCAAAAAAAAAAAAAAAACATAAATAAATCCCGTTCTACCAAGTTTTTGTTATAGGCAATCTCTTATATAGCCAAGCCCAGGTGGCTGCACTAGACCTGTATCCAAAGAAGATATTGTCTATTTCACTAGCATTTACCAGGTGGATGGATGCCACTAGAATCTACAAACCTACCTAACTTACCAGTTACCCCATTCTCTCTTAGACTTTGCAGCCTAACCATGGGAATGAGCAGCAGCCAGAAACAAGGGGTGGATTTACATCAAGCCCTACAGCAGCTGCCTTAAGTTGTTCACAAGAAGAGAATGCTCTGCAAAGGAGGGTTGTTTATTTAGGCGGTCTTCCTTGGCCTCAAATTTACACAAAGCATGGAGTTTATTTGTGCTGAATTGAGGCAGATTGTAGGAGCTGCAGACTGCACCCCAGCTAAACCGTAGCAGGCTGCTTGGTAGAGTGAATGAAACCCACAAGCACGCTGCAGGAGTCTGGGTTAAATATTAAATGGTTTTTGCAAGAAAAGTGATGTATCACAATAACATAGTAGTCTAGATTGAAAAAAGACTAAAGTCCATGAAGTTCAACCGTGAAAAACCTGTTATTTTATGCTGCTGTTGCTCCAATAGAAGGCAATTTCCAATTATGCCCGACTGGGTGCCTCCGCCAATCGCTGCTTCCTAGTAGCCTGGAGTACTATAAGCAATGCACCGGACACCATAAGCACCGTAGCCCCTTAACCGCTGCAGCTTGGCTGGGATCTCGCTCTCCTCCACCCACCCTGGACCCAAGCCCAGGATCCAGCTTCCAGTGAGTGGACCTCTCCTACTCCAGAGAGTCTAGCAGGTATAGCTTTGTAGCTCTTACAAGAGCTAGTGATTACAGCCAGTATAGCAATCCGAAGCAGGTATAGCTGGTATAGCTGTTCCCTACAATCACGAGACGAGGCTGCGTGTTGAGGGTGAAGTGAAGTGACTTTAATGGGACCACACTTGGCCTTTTATGACAGTCCCCATGCAAGGGGCACTCCCCCCTGGACCTGAGAGTAAACCACAGAAGAAACAAATACACAATCACATTGGATCTCAGATCCAAGACACTCCCATACAAACTAGGTCAATACCTCCTCTGTACCTGGGAGATAATTTAGTCAAGTACTGTATTAATTGAATTATCTCCAGACACAAAAACACATTTTTATAAAAAAATAAAAAAAATACCTTTAAAACATACAAAACCCCCACAAAAGGTACATCCCCTGATAGCCCCGATCTGGGTGAACAGCATATCCAAAAATCACCCAGATCAGTTTAGGGATTCATGAATTTCCTGGAAGTCATAGTTTTGGCCGACCGCATCGCGGCTAAGTGCTGCTGGGGACCGACCGGAAACCGCGAAATCTTCCTGCCGAAAACAGTTCCATAGAATCACGGCTAAGTGCTGCTGGGGGACCGAACGTGAACTGCGATGTTTTCATGCCGAAAATAGTTCCAGGACATTCGCTGTTAAGTCCCCCTGAAGTCTATTCGCAGTTTTGGTCCATGCGAACGGCCACCAGTGAGCTAGCGTTCGGTTCTATGGAAAGTGCCGAACCAGGAGGAATAAAATATGGGTCTTTACAGTCGCTGACCTTGCCCATAGTCTTTTGGCAGGAGGCTGGCAAGCAGGCCCCTCCAAAAGCCTGTGGCTAGGTTCTGTTCGCCATAATATATCTTTAGAATCTGATAATACAACCTGATTAGGTAGAGAATTCTGCATCCTTATTGGTCTTACTGTAAAGAACCATTTCCTGTTCACATACAAATCAATTATATGTTTGAATGTTCATTTAAAAAAAAAAAAAAACAGCCTTAAAAAAAAATATATATATATATATATATATATATATATATATAGGTGATACTCGAAAAATTAGAATATCGTGCAAAAGTTAATTTATTTCAGTAATGCAACGTAAAAGGGGAAACTAATATATGAGATAGACGCATTACATGCAAAGCAAGTTAGTTCAAGACGTGATTTGTCATAAGTGCGATGATTATGGCTTACAGCTCATGAAAACCCCAAATCCAGAATCTCAGAAATTAGAATATTACATGCAATCAATAAAACAAAGAGTGTACATAGAACAATATCGGACCTCTGAAATGTACAAGCATGCATATGGAGTCAGTACTTGGTCTGGGCCCCTTTTGCAGCAATTACTGCTTCAATGCGGCGTGGCATGGAAGCTATCAGCCTGTGGCACTGCTGAGGTGTTATGGAAGACCAGGATGCTTCAATAGCGGCCTTCAGCTCTTCTGCATTGTTCGGACTCATGTCTATCATCTTTCTCTTGGCAATGCCCATTAGATTCTCTATGGGGTTCAGGTCAGACAAGTTTGCTGGCCAATCAAGCACAGTAATCCCATGGTCATTGAACCAGGCTTTGGTGCCTTTGGCATTATGGGCAGGTGCCAAGTCCTGCTGGAAAATGAAGTCAGCATCCCCATAATGCTCGTCTGCGGAAGGAAGCATGAAGTACTCCAAAATTTCCTGGTAGACGGCTGCGTTGACTCTGGACTTAATGAAGCACAGTGGACCAACACCAGCAGATGACATGGCTCCCCAAATCAGCACAGACTGTGGAAACTTCACACTGGACTTCAAGCATTTTGCAGTGTGTGCCTCTCCATTCTTCCTCCAGACTCTGGGTCCTTGGTTTCCAAATGAGATGCAAACGTTGCTCTCATCAGAAAAGAGGACTTTGGACCACTGAGCAACATACCAGGTTTGTTTTTCTTTACCCCAGGTAAGACGCTTCTGACGTTATTTGTTGTTCAGGAACGGCTTGACAAGAGGAATACGACATCTGAAGCCCATGTCCAGAATCCGTCTGTGTGTGGTGGCTCTTGATGCACTGACTCCAGCCTTAGTCCACTCCTTGTGACAGTCCCCAACACATTTGAATGGCCTTTTCCTGACAATCCTCTCCAGGCTGCGCTAATCGCTGCTGCTTGTGCACCTTTTTCTTCCACACTTTTCCCTTCCACATAACTTTCTATTAATGTGCTTTGATACAGCACTTTGGGAACATCCAATGTCCTTCGCAATTACCTTTTGAGGCTTTCCCTCCTTATGGAGGGTGTCTATGATGGTTTTCTGCACAACTCTCACGTCAGCAGTCTTCCCCATGATTGTGATTCCTACTGAACCAGAATTAGAGACCATTTAAAGGCTCAGAAACCCTTTGCAGGTGTTATGGCTTACTTAGCTGATTAGAGTGGGACACTGTGAGCCTAGAATATTGCACCTTTTTACAATATTCTAATTTACTGAGATTGTGGAATTGGGGTTTTCATGAGCTGTAAGCCATAATTATCGCACTTATGACAAATCACGGCTTGAACTATCAAATTTTGTATGTAATGCGTCTAATTCATATATTAGTTTCCCCTTTTACGTTGCATTACTGAAATAAATGAACTTTTGCACGATATTCAAATTTTTCGAGTATCACCTGTATATTTATAGAATCTGATAACACAACCTGATTAGGTAGAGAATTCTGCATTCTTATTGTAAAGAACCAATTGCTCTACTGTAAGTGAAAAAGGAACTTCATGGGCAACCTCTTGTCTTTTGTATACTAGTATTAATTAGCAGGTTAGAGGCGGTTGGCGAAATGCTTTAAATGCTTTTCCTTTTTATATTTTATATTTTATGTTGTGGCTAATAAATTCTTCTTTCTTGATTAGAAATAAGTGGTATCTGCTCTATAAACTGGTGAGATAATTCAGTGAGATAATACATCATCAGTAGAATCTGTTCAACCCTGGGATCGCAGATTCGAATCCTTGCAGGGTTGACTCAGCTCTTCATCCTTCTGAGGTAGGTAAAATGAGTACCATTAAATTGGGTAATAGTAACAACCCCTGGATGTTAGGCTAAGGTAACATCCCCAGGACGAACTTGAAAAAGTAATCTGAATGTGCCTTTCATGGTTAAATATTTTGTTATTATTACATTGGTCCATGGTGGGGACAAAACACAGAGCAAGTATATGCTTTTAAATTCATAAGTAAAATTCTTCCTATTTCCACATGATCCAATTGTTTCTTATACTGCACCGTTGGAGTTTTGCATTTCTGTTCTGCGTATATATTGATTTATCCGACACCTTGAGGAACACATCAGCCACTATTGGCATAAATCCCAGGACGGGGATAATACCGTCTACACTACTTTTCTTTGAGCTTGCAGCAAGCTCTTTATAGAGTTTTTGGCACACTTTGGTTTATTTTTATTATTATAATATATTACCCTATAATTTGTCCCTGTGCTACGGAATTAGTTGGCGCTATATAAATAATAAAAATTATAATAACATATTCTGAGCTATCCCCCTGTAAACTTTATGCAACCACTCTGGATATTTTATATGTATGTATTTTGATAATTTCACATAGGTATTTAATTGGCACAGTTGCGTACAGTTGCCTTGTAAAAATTGTATTTATAAGTATAGGCAACTTAGATGAACTTGTGTTCTGTGTAACACAGATATAAACTGCAAGTGTGTATTTTATTGTGCAGTATTTTCAGTTTTTAACTTATTTAATCACCTTAAAAGCATCAAAATCCAATATTAGCCCTAGGTTATATGGGTTTTAGTTTAAATTTGATAGTAGCTCTGCATTCAACCTTCCAATTATAACATCTCACTCTCCAATACACATATTACATCAATCACCAAAACAGCTCTTTAATTTATTGACTTTGAATGGCAATAGTCTGGCTGTACTAGCTGAGCTGATAACCTCTCACTGCTATCATACCAACTTTGGAAACTAATCATATTGCTATAAAACTAGTGGTATCCAGACAGCGAATAGGAATACACGTAGCAAACCGCAACACTAAGATATAGATGTAAGATTTATTGCGATTGGCTAAAAAATCTTCAGGGGGCAAGACCAAAAGTCAGGAACTAAAAAAAAAACAAAAAAAAAAAACAGCTGCGGGAACAGACCAAATATTGTACGTGGGGGGAGCGATTTAATTTGTGTTACTAATACGATTCAGGATTAATCAACAATGCATCTACAAGTGGTTAACACGACGTTAACTCTAGAAGAAGTGAACTGAAAGGTGATATATGTGTTATGTTTTTGTTTTTTAAACGGCTCTTGTTTAGTGAGTGGTATCGCCCAGTGTGGTGATGTCATGTTGTGGGCGGAGTTGTGTCCTTTGGTGCTGGGTAGCTCAGTAGGTGCATGTAAGGTTCATTTTATTCTGTAAGAAAGTTACACACAGTTGGGGGGGTGGGGGGTTAATTCAGGTTTCTATAACATACAGTGTGTGCTGTGCTTTTTAAATAAAACTCTAGTAACATAACAGCTGAGGCATGTATTACATTACATGGTCATTATTTAATTACCTTTAATTGATTTGCTTTGTCTCTTCAATATCAGTAGTGCACACAGTGCTGTTATATTAAACAGTACAACTCCTTGTCTACTTGGGGTGTTTTCATTCCCCCCTAATTGTATTGCAGCATTAATAAATAAACCAATATTTACAAGGCACCAACATAGTCTGTAGTGTTGTACAATATGTAGACATTAGGGGTATTTGAGGACAAAGCAAGTTGAATGGTCTGAGAACAGATTTTGTGGGGCGGCGCAGTCAAAGAACCTTACAGTATGTCAGGCAGAGATTAGCTTATAAGGTTATAACAATTAAAATATCTTTATTAAGGCAACAGAGCATTAGAGAACGCCTCCCTCTTATTGTATCGGTGGCATGTTCCATTGTAGAATCTTAAAGCTGTCTTTGTTTTGGTCTGGCCTGCCCTGTGGGGATATTCAGAATCACTGCAGCAAATCATTGTGCATGCAAGGTTGACCTCTGGGATGCTAACAAATTGAGGTGAGCCAGCCAGAGCTGTACGACATTGGTGACAGACAGAGCATGCTCAAAGAGTCCTCAAATCAAGGGAAGAACAGCAAATGACTGCTCAGTCTGCAGATGGTGCCCTGAAAACAGCTATTATCATATGAATGGAGCAGGCTTAGCGAGATTTGTTTGAAATCCTCCAGTGGTACATGGGACAATAGGAGTCATCTTCATATATTTTTTATATTTAGCAGAGGGGCTGGAAAAGCAACTCTAAATAACACTGATCTCTTTTTACAGCAACGTGAGCTTTGCACGCTTGTACTGAAGTGGTAATCTTCCAGGCTTGCCAGTCTCCGAATCGTAAATCTGCAGATGTGCCAGAGACATTATATCCATCTGGTGAGTATTAACGACAGCTACACACCTCATTTGGTCTATTTATGGATGCCATAGTTTGTGTGTTCTGTATATTATTTTTTATATTTTTTATATTTTTTTATTTATAAAGCCTTAACATATTCTACATATATCTATACTTACTTTACTGTAGTTCGAAAGATACAGGATACTGACAATGAAAATACGCTGGTGTATATTCGTCATACAATTATAATTTTCCTTTTTAGTGAAATAAAATTTGCAAGCAGTTTTCAGAATTGGAAACCAGAGGTTGGCCGATACAAACAATGGCTCAGAGCCTCAATTCATTTTGATTGTTTATCAAAACATTAATTCATTGTATATATTTACTATTATTTCAAGGTTTTTTTTGTAAACTGCACAGGTTTCAGCTTAAGCCTGAAAATGGGATGTTGGTTTAAAACCTCTTTATTCAGACAATATTATTGATGGGCAAATTGCTAAGAATCTAAATACTTATATTAGTTTGTCATGATTTCCTTATCATTTTTACAAAAATTCAAAACTCTATAAGGATTTGTATCAGTTTTTACATATGAACGTATTTTGCAAGTTTGACTTGACATGTGGTACCCAATTATATTCTGGTTAATTTACTTAATCAGTAATTGTGCAGAATTGACAAAGTATCTAAAAAAGGTTTCTAAGCTTTGACTTGTTTTAACCACAATTCCCATTTTAGTAAATAACAAAATTGTGATACTGTGCACAACTAACCCTTTCAAGTCTATTGACCTTAGAGTAGATCTTGGCTTGGTGCATGGAATACTGGCTCAGATAATGGAACTGGCAGTCTTTCTTTTTATTTGATATGCGAGTGCTGGTGTACAATTTAATAATATCAGCTATCATAATTTGATATCTACAGCGGGCTGTAGTGGTTATGATGCCAGCAGTAAGCTGGCCTGGTTCCCCAGAAATGGGTCAAACCATTTAGTAATGGTCTTCCTCTTACCTGGCCCCCGTTGGGCACTGAGGCTTTTTCCTGCCATGTGATGCACTTCTGACTTCTACTGAAAGAGGAATCCGATCCTGTCGAACATTCATTGGTTGAGAGCTTCACCTGACCAGTCTCCACCAGTGAATAAAATACATTTGCACCTAATTCACAATAGCCGTCCAGGAACTCTTGTTCCAGGCTGGTTAATGATGCCCCTATGACAGTGAAGGTGGAGTTACGCCTCCAGCACCCAAGGTGTTAAACTTGGAATTTGCAACGTTTCAGAATGAAACACTGCACTTACAGACTATACGCAGCATGCCCACTTAAAATCACTGAAATGGTAATGGTGTTTGGAGTATCCCTTTAAACAATGAAATTGTGACAAGATAAGCCACGAAGACAAGTTGCTGTATCCTGCTCTGTGAGTGCACTTGAATAGTTGGTCATTTGGGTGTTAATTTCTAGCTACTCTAATCTTGAATCAATGGTTATTTACTAAACCCCACATTTTCTGTATCATTTAATAACATTTAGGATAATACAGCTGATCTTGAAGATGAAATCTTAAACTCTGTAGTCCACGTTTTGTCATTTTTGACCTCAGACTTGTACTTTAGCTTTTAATTTTAAAAATTCTTTGTGTATAATCCTGACCATCTACAGTGATCATTGAACCCTGCGCAATGCAGGAGCTTCTTCCTATGGCTAGATCTAATTTCTATGATCCAAATTCAGGTGTGCAACCTCCAACATCTTAATTTGGAAGGTTCAAATAGGTAAACATGTTACATTAAATTAATGGCTGTCTTTAAAGTGTCATGCCAAGAATGGTTTTGGTCCTCTTCAGAGAAAAATAACTTTTTAATATATACTTTGTTCTAGCCACATTGCTGGCAAATTAAACTTATTCACAGGACCTCCTTAAGTGCTGTGCATGCATCTTCAATGTCCAGAAAGTAATGATGAAGTATCACACAACCTCTAGTGTACCTGCTACTCACATCATCTTCAGGTAATTAAATCTTTTCATCTATACAGTTACCTTGGGTTTGCCAGCACACTCTGTGGACTAGTGGTGTGTATGTACTTAATAGCCACATATTTTATGTAGACAGGCTAATGTTAAAGGATAACTTTCACTTCAAAATGATTTATTTAATAATCCTTTCATCAAGTTTTGTAAAGAAATAGATTTTTTTTTTTAATGAAGTTTATTTAAACAATGAGAAAACCTCATCCCTTCCTTTATTATATGACAGGGCCCTTCAGCCATATACACGCACCTTGGGTCAGACAGTGTTTGAAAACCAACACTCTCTATGGTCTTCCCTGCTTCACTCACTTCACAGAAGCAGGGGAAATCGTAGAGGCTAACTGGTTTTCAAACACTGTCTGACCCAAAGGTGCATGTTTATGTCTGAGGGATCCTGCCATGTAATACAGGTAGGGGTGAGTTTCTCTCTTTTTATTTTTAATATACTTCATTTAAAAAAACAAAACAATATTTCCTTTCAAACTTGAGGAAATGATTAATATATTAAAAATTAGTTTTGAGTTATCGTTGTCCTTTAACATTAACCTATCTACACACCATGTGTGGCTATAGATATCACTATTCTACAGAGTGTGCTGGCGAAACCAAAGGCAACTGTGTAGATAAAAATATATACTTACCTAAAAATAGTTCTTACCTCATTCAACAATGAAAATGATGTGAGCAGCATGTACACACTCGAGCAGGGGTAGCCAACCATCTGCACTCCAGCTGCTGAGCACTATAACTCCCACAGTGTTTGTGCAGCTATAGTAATGACAAAGCATCAGGGGAGATGTAGTCCATAACATCCAGAGTGTCGAAGGTTGTCTATCCCTGTGCTAGAGGTTGTGTGATGCTACATATGCTGCAGGGCTGAAGTTTTCTAAAAAAAAAATTACATATACTTCATTTAGAAAAAAAATCTGGTTTCTTGCAGATTTTATAAAAAGGTTTATTATATTAAAAAATAATTTTCAGTCGACAGTTGTTGCTCAAGGGGTTTAATATTGGTTGTCTAGTTTGAGGGTCCCCTTTTAACTGTCCTAAGGGCCACATTTATATTAAAAATACTTTTCAAAGAATAATTGTTATTCAACGTTGATGACTTGAAGTTGTTTTATAAAAACGTGTTGCTTTTTAACACTTGGCTTGGAAATTTGGATGAGGTTAAAGGAACTCTCCAGCGTTATAAATAAAAACCTTTATTTATAATGCTGGCATATTTAAAACATCTTGTAGATTACTAGGCCCCACACTGTGCACAAAAAGAGAGAACCCATTAAATTCAGTGGTGAAAGGATCTCCTGCCACATCTCTGCTCCACTGAAACTGGTGTGTTTTTTAGGATTTGGAGTTGTTCTAAATTGGGGCAGTTTAAGCACCTTTACTACTAGAGTCTGTTAGAGTGATTAATGTGCTAGTTGGTTGCGTGCCCTGTACTCAGATTTTGTGTCAAACTGTTTTCAAGCATTTTGACACATTCTAAGAGTCATTCAGGTGTCCATGGCACAGTCCCTTACACACTTTATTGTTAATGCAAAAATGACACGTCCGGACTTGCAATATCATTTTTGTCCATATTTGCTTTGCATTGATTGGCTGTATATGTCTGGGATTACACCAGTAAAAACCATAAACACCCCAATAGGTTGTACTGCTTATGGTACAGTCTGACAGCTAAGCAAGCTAAAAATGGCAAGGCCATCAGATTTACTATTAGACTAATCTGTATACAATTTCGTATTGCTTGTTGGGAAATGAAAGAGACCACAACAGATCAATTTTAAGGAATTGTCACTTTTTGACTCGCTCAGTGGCTGACATTACATATGAAACTATGCAGAAAGGACCGAAAAGGGAGAGAAAAACTATAGAGGGTGTTGTGGGAAAATGAAGAGGAAGTAAATACAAAAAGTAGAGGCGAAGTCAAGAGCGATTTATTCACTAAATTCCAAATTGTAGTGAATTGTTATTGTAGCTTAACTGATATAATGTAGACAACAATAGCAGACTTAGGAAAAAAATCATCCAAAGCAGCTATAGCCAGCTTGACTATTTTAGCCTAAGTTTTGCTATTCACATGTCATTTCGCTGCAATTCAGAGTTTAATACGTAAACCCTAAAATGTTAAAATATTTAGTATTGTTTGAGCAACTTTGTAATGGTTCTCACAGAAAGTACCATTCATAATGGTACTGATTAGCTGTTGCCACATGGATTATCAATAATGGGTATAAATGCTGGGGCTAAGGGTTAGAGATTGAGGGATCTATGGTTTTCTGCACTCGAGGCTGTGGGCTATAATTTACATAATTTACAGCAAGGCGAAGCCTGGCTTATAGCAATAGGAGTTACATTCCACATTATCTCCAGTATTAACCCCTTAAGGAAAAGACTTCTGGAATAAAAGGGAATCATGACGAAATATGTCCTTAAGGGGTTAAAGGCGGAACAGCAATACACCTGTTCTCGAAGGACAAGGGGTTACAGAGCTGGGCATATGGCACTGTGCCTAGGGAAGGATAAAAAGGATGGAGGTGAGGAAAATGAAGCAGAGGGCAACAGAAATAGACCAGAAAGGTGAAATTTGAAGCGTAGGGAAAAAGTAATGGCATGCTGAAATTAAGAAAATAGAGATGCTGTGGATCAGTTGTTGAAATGAATTGAGGCAGAGAAAATCTGAAATTGTACTGAGCCATCCATACCATGCAAGAGTGTAATAATTATTTATTGATTGGTTTTAAACAAGCTTGTATTGTTTATGTGGAACGATGATTAAATTATTTTGTGGATTTATTTCTCAGTGTACCAGTTGTGAATACAAAGTATCCTGTTACTTTTCACATGCACCGACATTTATGCAGTAATTTCTATCAGAGTATATAAACATTCTCTCGTGTAATGTTTAAGCTGAATTTTATTGGTGATCAGAGAACTGTATTATTTGTACTTGTACCTCAAACATATTTTGCCAGTTTATCATAGATGTTGTCTCCTCTATCAATTCCCATTTCCTAGCTGATGATGCAATCTGTAACAGGACTCCAAGCATCCTGAATATTCTAATATGTAACAAGATGTACATTAATATATAATATACAGGCATATGTTGAAGAAGGGAATCTTGCAATACAGAGTGTATATGAAGAACAAGTGCAGCTCATATATATTTAATTATTAATTGAAGCTCTACACCAAAAAGCCCAGCCCAGTGTGTCTGCCTGCATTCCTGCCTAGCTATCCATTTATCCAATCAAATTGTTTGAATAGAAATCTTGTTTAAAGTCACAGCTGCCATTTTCCTACATTACGAATGTTACTTTGAATGTAAGTCTGTGGAACAACTGGACCAAAAATACATGTATGCCAAATTTCCAGTCACTGATCGGGCATGGCATGCTTGTTCCCTTTCTTTATCCTTGTAATTTTTTGCCCTCATTTAATATTTACTCAGTCCTGTACTGTCAACTCACATACACTAATGCCCCAGGGGCAGGATTCGATGGTTCAAATACTGGTAACCTGGAAAATGCAACCATGCCATGTAAATTAAATAGGTGCTGGGGTATGCACAGTTCTTACTGTCAGTGTATTTGGTTTATTTTCTTTGAGTTAAAATGGTGTTCTGCAGTGTTCTAAATGATACTTTCAGTAACTGCACTGGTAGTAAATACTTTTCTAGTGATTTTATATAATTCCTTTTTTTTTTTTTATAGCAATATTTTTTTGTTAAACTCCTTTTATGTATAGAACTCATTTCAAATAGATTGCTCAATGCGGTTTACAATTTAAAAATGAACAGATCATTTCTTGAGGGACACTGCATAAAATGGGGATACTGTCTCCCATTTCCTGATATATAGTATAAAAAAACACAAGTACCAGACACATTTTGGCTTGGGCTGCAAGTTATAATATGTCACTGTCTGTATCAAATCTGTATCAATTTGATCTTGGTCACACATTCACCATATAGTCACATGCCAAAATGAAGTTGGTAACGACTGTTTTTCTGTTAATTTTCTCCTGAAAAGCGAACTCAACAAACCTAAAGTGGTCGAAGTGACATCGACAGCTGAAACAATACTAGCAGTCAGTGAGACAGTTGTGACCTTTTGGGACTGCCTAAAACGTTACAGATGCACTAAAGTGTCACTTTTAACATATGTTTTGCTTTCTCACGCGTATCCCTAGACACTTCTACACAAGTTACACTTTCTTTTATTGAATGGAGAAAATTTGAGACAGTGAATTTGTTTCCCTTCAATGTAACGTTTTAGAGGTGTAATCATCAATAACACACAAAATATAGTAAAAGCAGTTTGACTCCGTCATGACAGCAAGAGATGTTTGATTTACAGCAGGGCTTACAATTTCCACTCACCACTAGCAAATGGCAAGTAAAACATTAACCCTGGCAAGTAGAAATTCTCCTCTGGTGGGTATACTATGGCTTGTAGTGGTTAGTAACTCATTTTAAGCCCTGTTTAGAGTAAGTATATTGGTTCAGTTCAGCTACTCTGCCCTTAAATTTGAAATTCACTTTGAATTCCCAATAACTCTCACTTTAGTAAATTACGGTTCATCCCACAATGATTGACTAGTGATATCAGCGGTTATGAACTTTATTTATTAATTTAAAGGCCAACATGTTACATCACATTCATATATTTTCATTTACATTTTTTTTTTCCTGAAAATTCAATGTTTTTATGTTTTGTCTAATGTGCGTGTTTTTGTTTCTAGATGTCCTCTTCTGCTATATTAAGCTGGATTAATGATGACAGTGATTTTCTCTGGGTTCCTGTGTGGTTGTCTTGATTCAGTACAGCTACAGAATGAACATATCAGCAGTCTTCAATGCTCTTCTTGTATCAATCCTGGCAGCAGTACTCTGGAAGTATGTGAAACTATGGGAGCAGTACTCCATTATTGAGGAAGAGTTAGATCTTACTCGTCAATCCGAAGAATTGTCTCAGGTTCGCATTGACTACCAGGCAGCATTGTATGCTCTGGTGGAGGATGGCACGAGAATGGTGTGCACTGGCAGGATGCATACAGACCGTGTATGCCGCTTTGACTCACTCTGCTACTCTACAGAAGCTGAAGAGTTTGTCTTCTTTCATAGCAACTCATCAATCATGTTACCGAATTTGGGCTCCAGACGTTTCCAGCCAGCACTGCTAGACCTGTCTTCAGTGGATGACCACAATACTCAGTATTTCAACTTTGTAGAGCTGCCAGCTGCCGCTTTGAAGTTTATGCCTAAGCCTGTTTTTGTGCCAGATGTTGCACTTATAATGAACAGATTCAATCCTGACAACCTAATGCATGTTTTTCATGATGACCTTCTTCCCATTTTCTACACAATGCAGCAGTTCCCAGACTTAGATATGGAATCTCGACTTTTCTTCATGGAAGGCTGGAGTGAAGGTCAACATTTTGAGCTGTATAGGTTTTTAAGCAATAAGCAGCCTCTTTTGAAGGAACAGTTAAAAAACCTAGGAAGGCTTCTCTGCTTCACCAAATCCTATGTGGGATTAACAAAACTCACCACATGGTATCAGTATGGCTTTGTCCAACCACAGGGGCCAAAAGCCAACATTTTGGTTTCTGGTAATGAAGTCAGACACTTTGCTAAGTTCATGATGGAGAAGTTAAACATAAGTTCAGAGCAAGGTTCTACAGATGACTACATAGTATTGTTCAGTCGAACACTTAACCGACTTATTGTAAATGAGGCAGAATTACTCCTTGCGCTTGCTCAGGAATTTCAGATGAAAACTATCACAGTGTCACTTGAAGACCACTCATTTGCAGATATTGTTCGACTCATCAGCAATGCCTCCATGCTCGTGAGCATGCATGGTGCCCAGTTAGTCACATCCCTGTTTCTACCAAAAGGTGCTGTTGTGGTGGAGCTTTTTCCTTTTGCGGTAAACCATGAACATTACACACCATACAAAACACTGGCAATACTCCCAGGTATGGAACTTCAATATGTTGCATGGCAAAATACTGAGGAGGAAAATACAATCACATATCCTGATAGGCCATGGGAACAGGGTGGGATTGTACATCTGAGTGCAGCTGACCAAGAACGAATAATGAAAAATAAAGAAGTACCCCGTCACCTCTGCTGTCGTAACCCAGAGTGGCTCTTCCGTATATATCAGGACACAAAAGTGAATGTTTCCTCACTTGTGCAAGCCATAAGAAATGTTGTAAAAACAAAACTGGTTTCTAGGAAGCAGAGGTGGGTTAATGGGCCATATCCTGGAAAAGTTAGAGAAGCAAAATGTCAGGCTTCCAACCAGGGTACGAATGTAGCCAAGTTGTCGGTATCTTGGCAAATACCATGGAATCTTAAGTACTTGAAAGTAAGAGATGTTAAATATGAAGTATGGATACAAGAACAAGGTGAAAATTCATACATGCCTTACATCTTATCTCACCAGAACCACACATTTTCTGAAAACATTAAACCATCTACCACGTATCTTGTGTGGATCCGCTGCATTTTCAACAAAAATCTTCTTGGGCCTTTTGCAGATGTCCTATTGTGTAGCACATAACAGCAAAAAGCATGGTCATGTTTGGTTTAGAATCAACCATATTTAATCGGCATGCAATGGACTCATTTTAGAGTACCAAAGAGGGCCATGCAGCAAAGATTCTTTAGGTTTTGTATGTTTTTCAGTGTTTCTACCTTTTTAAACATATTCTAAACAAAGGTATAGTGCATTAATGTGACTAAAATTTAATTTATTTTTAAAATAGTTTAGCAACTCATAGTAAATGTGGTGATATTTAAAAAAAAACAAACAACTAATATATATTAATATATATATTAGATTTCTCTGTAATTTATTATAATGTTTTGATATACACAACTATGTATAAGTTGCTTGTATATTGTCTTTGCAAACCTTCTGAATATAGGTTCTTGTTGCCTATATTATTGGCATATTACTATCCAGATATATATGCAGGGGCAGGCTGGGACAGGGGGGCAGGGAGGCAATTGCCCCCAGGCCACCCTAAACCCAGGGCCGCCCGCATCCAGCAAAAAAAGGAAAATTTGAATCCTCTGCTTCTGGCTAGGGACTTGGATTTTTCAACTTACCTCACTCTCCCTGCAGCCAGTGAAGTCGGCCAGCCTCTCCTGATGATTTCACTGCTTTTCTCCCAGGACCGCTGGGGAGTCTGGGAGAAGAGCAAAGGAAGTCACGCCCCCTCCTCCTGACATCATCTGGAGAGGCCGGCCAACTCCACTGACTGCTGCTCCTGCCTACCCCTCCCTGGCCTAAGGTAAGACTCAGGGAGGGGGAGAATACACTTTTTTTTTTTATCCCCTTCCTCGGCCCCTGTCCCCCCGCCCCCCACGGCTCCTGTCCCCCTTACTCAGCCCTATGCCCCCCACCACAGCCCCATAACATCCCCACTACAGCTAGTCCCTCCCCAATTTCAACCCATGTCACCAACACCACAGCCCCTTTCCTATATTGTAGCCATCAACCTACTTTAGCCCCTCTCCCCCCGCTACATTTCCTAACCACCCAATTACAGCTGATACCCACCACTACAGCCCCTAACCCCCTACTACAGCCCTTTCCCCTTACTCAGTCCCTGTCTACTGGCTTTAAAAGTGTAAAGTTAGTGTGTGTGTGTGTCCGTCAGCGAGTCTGTCTGTTTTAGGTGACTTCCCCCCCCCACCTTTCAATCACATTGGAAAGGTGCTTTTACTCTCCTCTTGGTGCAATGGGCCACTTGACTCGATATGCCCCCCAGGCCTAAGGCTGCCAGCCATCCCCTGTATATATGTAATTACATTTTCTTGATTTACATCTGATTGAGTTGCAATATGAAATGACTTACTTTGACAAGTTATGCTGTTAAATAATATGCATTATTTGATTTTAGTGAGAGTTTTATTTATTTATCTAGTGCTTGTCCATGTATCAAGCATAGGCTGTACATCATCCACCCCTCCCCCCATTGAATCAAGAAGATTGTGTACTAAACAAAAGCTGCCATGTCCAGTAAGTTAATGTAGCAGGCATAGCTTTATACTACATCTCATGAACTTTTTTTTACGGTGCATGAATTAAACATTTCAAAGTCCAGTGTTCTGTTTGGAATCAGTGAATGTATATATGACCCATCAACAAAATTTTAAGATCTCTATTACCTTTCCTATCTACAGCCCAAGCATGCAGTTCATTGCCACTGTTCTGGTCTTACTTTATAGGCCATGTAGGCTTAGTGAAACCCTATATGTCTAACCATTCTTTGGATATTTTTCAGAAGTTTTAGTCTAGCCAAAACTAAGCATTGTATTGAGTCTTGCATTGTAGTCAGTAAGTAATGCATTGGTAGGTCCGGATATTCTCCAGCTTTTTGAAACTTTGTTTAAGTTTTTTTATTTATTTATTCTTTTTTGTTCTCTAAGAAATTCTGTTTTATGGAATTTTACAAACTGTGTGTAATACATTTAAGACTAAAACATTTTATTGCAGACTTTTCTTAAATAATGAAGACCTAGTTGGACCAATAGGTAGCTCTCAAGGTAGTTGGACAACACAACTTCCATTATGTTCAATCAGTCTTTGACTTATTAAATAATTCCCCATTGTAATTCAACAGACATGGACCAGTGAGTTCAATATTTTGAATGTTTAAAGAAGTTAATACACATAATAAACATCAGATTAAATATTTGGCGAGTATGTATAACAAATACATTAGTTTAAATAGGATATATGGGGATTCCATGAACATAGGAAGTGTTTATTAAGAAATGTTTCTTTTAATTAGTTTATTTGTTAGAGTAGGCAGTATTCAATTAAAGAATCACACTAAGCAACATAACCGCTATAATAAGCTATAAACTGGTTACGAACCGAACCTCGAGGTCACCAAGAGAACGTCCCTATCTCAGTTGCATTGATAATGTTAAATTAACATTAATCCCTTAAGGAACATGACGTGTGACATGTCATGATTCCCTTTTATTCCAAAAGTTTGGTCCTTAAGGGGTTAATGTATATAATGTAAAAAAATTTACATTATTAGTTTAGTCCTACCTGGGTGTCATTAATGTGCTGAGAGCAGTGATCATATTTGTCCCCAATACTTTCAACCAGTCCGTGATGTCCAATTTGGCAAAACTGACAATAAGGCAGGAATTAATAATTCGGTATTATCAATGCAGCTGAGATGGGGCAGTTTTCGGGCACCAAAAAGAACCCCGGTCTATATCTAACTGTTTGTACACTATTTGAGATAGTCAGAGGGACAGCGACAAGACACTACAATGAGCCTTAACCCTTTTACCCTTAAAAGGGTAACTAAAGAGTAGCGTAAGACTGTAAATCACAACTAATGTATGCTAGTGGCCCAGGGTGAAGTTGTCTCCTTTGGCATCCCTCCCAGAGTGGAGACCACAACACCATTAAATAGTCACTTTATACCAGTGGTTCGCAACGAAGGTATTGACAATTTCCAATTCTGTTCTAGTAGGCATTCTAACAAAACGTGGACTGTTTTAGTGTGTCTTGAGAATGGTGTTGGGAACTACTGCTATAAGCGCTATAACAACTTTGCATAATTTATTGGTTGTTATTATAGTTTTTGGTGCATAGTGCACACCACATCCACTTTCAGCCTATCCCTTAAAAGACCACTATAGTGCCAGGAAAACATACTCGTTTTCCTGGCACTATAGTGCCCTGAGGGTGCCCCCACCCTCAGGGTCCCCCTGCCGCCGGGCTGGATGGCGAGGAAAGGGGTTAAATTCACCTTTATTCCAGCGCCGGGCGGGGAGCTCTCCTCCTCCTCTCCACCTCCTCTTCGGCTGAATGCGCATGCGCGGCAGGAGCTGCGCGCGCATTCAGCCGGTCTCATAGAAAAGCATTTACAATGCTTTCCTATGGACGCTTGCGTGTTCTCACTGTGATTTTCACAGTGAGAAGCACGCAAGCGCCTCTAGCGGCTGTCAATGAGACAGCCACTAGAGGATTTGGAGGCTGGATTAACCCATCTGAAACTGCTATGTTTATAATAAAAAGAGGGGTTAATCCTAGAGGGACCTGGCACCCAGACCACTTCATTAAGCTGAAGTGGTCTGGGTGCCTAGAGTGGTCCTTTAAGAGCTGTCATGCTGAATGCTCAGTTCTGGCTGTCCAGCACTGCCATTTTTCTTCTAGTTATATGTACGGCATGCACAAGTACAGCTTGGATTGAGCTTCCTCTTGTTCATGGATAGTGTGTCAAGTCATTACCCATGTATGCTCAGACTGTGGCTCCTCTTGATAGCTGCACACAGCCCAGTCCACTAAACAGTTTATACGGCAGTATCACTCCTCCTGTGTTGTGAGTGGAACTGCTGCTGGAGAATAAACTGTGTATCCTATACAGTACTCCATTGCTGGACAGAGATTTATGGCAAAACAAAAGACCTGAAAGGGACAATTCTCGTTTGACCATCTCTTCAGGCAGACTGACTAACCAATGCATCTGCAGGGAATACCCCAAGTACCCTTTTTAATTAATTCATTTTATTTAGGCATCTTTTTTTATGCATTATAAATCTTTGTCTTATAGTGTGCCTTTCACTAGGTAATAATCGGGCAGGAACATACAGAAGGCAGGCAATGAAACAGACTATTGAGCCAGGTCCAATTAAACCCCTACAAAGAATATGATTAGTCACATATACGAGTAATATAAAACACAAGTGGGTGTGTTTGAGAAAAATACCTCTGTTCATAATTGTCATTTGCCCCACATGCGGCACTATGGTGTGCTTTGTATACCTGTGTGTTATATGTTTTTAATAAACTACAGTTTTTGAAATCTTTGTCCACTGTTGGTTTATTATTTTAGTGTTTGTAGATCCTTGTTTTTTCCCATCAAGCCTGCTCCCTGGATGGCTAAATTTCTGTATAAGCCATAGCTAGTAGAGCTTCTGATACTCTACTGAAAAAAATGACATGTAGGGTATATTATCTTTTTACCCAGTTTGCTACAGTTAAAGAGACACCGTATTTAATGGTTTTCTGATCCATCATATCACTTCCTAGTAGATCCCAAGGAAGCCTTCTTCTGTGGCAAAAGGGAGTATGGCTGGAAGCTGTATGTATTTTACTATGTGTGTATGTGGGTATCTGTATGTATATGTGTGTCTGACAACATCTGTTAGTATTTTATGTGATGGTTATATATGTGACTCATTGACTTTACTCTTTGAGTTCTTCAGATGACAACATCCAAAAGTAAAATAAAAATGTGAAACCATACATTTGCATTGCTGTTCTAATTGTGACTGATGATGTATAAGATAATCCTTTTTGTAACGGTAGTGTTCCTTTAAGCATCCTGCCAGAACATGAGTTTCCCAAGATGAGAGCAGCATCGTTTAGGCCGATGTAATACAGCAAATAAGAATCCATGGTTTAATCTGCAATCTGTGCATGTGGGTCATGATTGTCAGCTGCCATCTGTAGTTTAGTCTGGGAGGGTGCAATGGTGTTTTATACATTTTAACAATGTGTGTGTGTATATAAATAAATAA